CTTGATACCTCTCCATCTCCGCTGAATTTCTTCAGTGTCATGAAGGTCAAATACCCAGTGAATAGAATTGTCAACGTGAAAGATTCTTATGCGATTATAGCGGTCACAAAGCCAGAGTAATTTCCGGCTGTATTTTCTAAATGTGGTAATATAGGTGACCGCATTAACATAAAAATGTATTCTTACGCCGCAGTATGTTGAATAACACACAACTCCTCCAAAACTTGAATTCGTGGAAAAATGCTTTGACACCTTGTTTCTAGTTGTCTTCCCGTGGTAGAGTGTAAACCACAGTTCCATGGTGTTTCAGCATTACCATATATGATGTAGCATAATGAGAGTACCTACTACTGAAACACTGTTTGTATTTAGTGCGAGGTGAATCTGGCAAGGAAAAATGATGCTAGATGTAAGTGCCACTGAAGGTGTCCAAATACCTTGGACGTGGCTTTCTATATGACTCCCCTTCCAGGAAACAAGAAGCAAGGGAGAGGCGCTGTATAGTATTGGATGAGTTTTGCGTTATTTAATAAATGTAGACGGTGTAATAAACAGGAATAACTTGAAGGTTTAAGAAATGAAACTAGTAGTTGATTAAATGTTATTTAATATCCAGTTTCTTAGTTTAAAAATACAGAATGAAAGAAGTTTTACTGGTTATTTTAAATCTTTATTTTTAGATTTCGCGAAAATCTATAAAAGACTGGACATCAAAATCGAGGAGAAGGGTGAGTCATTCTATCAGGAAAGAATGCACAACATCGTTATGATGATGGAGGAGAAAGGTGTGACATCTGTTGGTGAGGCGTGTCGTTAATCGCTAAGTCTCGTTTTAGGTCTGCTCACTGAAGACGAGGGTAGAAAAATTGTTTTCCCCGAAGGCTTCAATGTTCCCCTCACCGTTGTTAAGAAAGACGGCAGTTACACGTATGATACTTCTGATCTGGCTACTTTACAATACCGGATATTCGAACAGCAGGGCGAGTGGATATTGTACGTCGTCGATGCCGGTCAGGTAATCTGTGTCCGACAAGTTTATGACTACTTTTTCATGTGATTTGTATCACTTGCAATTTAATCTTTTTCTGTCTACATTTCAAGAACTCTACTGATATCCATAATGTTTCAGAGTTTTCATCTGCAACAGATCTATCAAATGGGACGGCAGATGGGTTGGTATGATCCGGAAAAGATCAGGGTCGAACATGTACAATTTGGTGTTGTTCTTGGTGAAGACAGGTAAAAAATTTAGTTTGAACGAGAAATGATTTGGAGCTTTTTACCTCTTAACTGTTATATAACGTGATTTTTAGGAAGAAATTCAAGACCCGTTCTGGCGAAACAGTGAAACTTAACGATTTATTGGATGAAAGCTTGAGAAGGTCGCTTGCTAAGCTGAAGGAAAAGAATCGCGAGGATGTGTGATGCATATATTTCAACAATATTTTGCTTAACTTCAAAAATTCAGGTTCTCTCTCCGGAAGAGTTGCAACTTGCGCAAGAGGCGATCGCGTATGGTTGCATCAAATATGCAGATTTGTCGCGCAATCGATCTAACGATTACGTATTTTCGTTTGATAAGGTAATAATTTAGTTTTATCACAATAATTGGAATCTTCGAATTCGTATTTCTATGGATGATATCTTTCGTCAGATTTCCGCAAAAAAATTAAATTTTCTTGAATAAAGGTCTGACTTCTGTTCATCACATTGGACGATGCTGGGGAATCTTTTAAGGTAATATCATAACACAATTGGGTTTATATTTCTGAAAAGATTGAGCGCTAAATCTAACTTTGAGAATGTACTAATTTGAATCAGTTACAGTTAATGATCCTCATTTCTCGACCCATAGTTAAACGAACCAATTTAAAAATAGCGATGTAAATTCCCTTACTAACCTATACGTTTCGGGGCTTCACACCGGGATTATCATCACTGTTGTATTATATAAATACAACACATGAAATATATTTGAGTGTTTCGTATCTGCTGCAAAATCGGCGGTTCCTTGGAATCGCAGATCTACAGGAAACTTCATCAGCCAGAGAGAACGAAAGAGATAAACGTGATTTATGGGATCGATTTCAAAGACTGCGAGCGTCGTCACAGAAAGGACCATGAAAGCGTTGCGTAAGGTTTGCGAAGCACATAACAACATCGAAGTGATGAAACGGAACATTCTGGCGTCGTCTCCCACGCTTTCTAGTTGGGAACGACGAATTTCAGCACTTCTGAGGTGCAGAGGGCAAACATCGGGATATTTGTTTAGAAAGCGTTACACCCAGTAGGCTAGCAAAAGCTTACCATGTGACAAATGTACGAGCTCGTTTAGTTTAAATAACTCTTGGAATGTAATTGACCAGCTCGTTCTGGAAAACTAATGGAATAATCATTATTCTCACTCAAATGTCGTAGATTTGGGGCTGTTTCGTTGATGTTCTTTAACCTTGATGATGATATCAAAACATGTCCAAGAGTAAATTAATTGTAATTTTAAATTAAAAACTTAAACTGTTGCCTTGAATCATCGATTGAACCCACTGATTCATTGACTGTCTTCTAAGCTGGTAATGAATCGGTACTTCCACAGCTGTTTGAATAAATTATTTAATAATTTTTTATGACTAATTCATGGGTATGTTCAGTCGAACAAATAGACGATGTATGTTTCCTGATAACGGCTTCCGATTCCATTATCCGGTTAACCGATTGTTTCGGAACTCATAGCAGGCCTTCGCAGATCTGTGAACTGGTCTCCATTAAATGCGGTTGCTTCCTTCTGTACTAGGGTTCCTGGCCGTTCTCTAGGACGATAAACATAGATGTGGTGAAGGATATTTGTGTGTTATTATTGTGCCATTTTCTGATACTCGTACTCGAAAAATCTATTATCAGGCCATGGGTTTACCAGCATCTAATGACTGAATGATCTGCTGTGATATTCCTCCTGTGTAGAGAACTAGTAAAAATGACTTATGTTTCGTATATGTAATTTGCTTAAATTTTAGATGCTCGACGACCGTGGTAACACTGCTGTTTATTTGTTGTACGCATACACGCGAATCAGGTAAATTGCCTTTACGATGATGCTCAGCATCAGTTCATTAAGTGTTGAACATACGTTATGGAGGCAACCACCTCTGAATAATTAACGATATCTTTATATTATAACATACTTCGCACCGCATCGAAACATTTATAGATTTTTGCCTTTGCCAGATCTGTTCATCACCTCACCGTTATGTGAATTAGCAAAAAATTGACACTGACTCAGCTTCTTCTTAAGTAGTAGGGCCTTATTTGTTTTTTAATTGCAGAACCTCCCGGTGTTATTAGTGCCACTTGCCTATGCTCGTGTCGCTCAATCGGTATAACCCTGAACTATAGGTAAAAGGATCTCAGATTCGTATTCTGTCTAGAAAGGATTGTAAACGATGAATAACTGTTTAATAAACCGACATTTGACATAAGAGTTTCTGATAATGAACAGTGCGGTAGGTATCTAAAACATTGGCCTTTTGACTTTTAACTTTCGTAGTGTCTATGCAGTAGGATTTTAAATTTTTTTTCAGTTTTTTGGTACTGCATTAATTTCAGTGGATTAGCTTCTTTTTTCTACGGATCCCACTTTTAGTTGATTAAATCAGCTAGCATGGAAGAAGAAGAGAGGGAGGTTTGATAGCACAATAGGTTGGCAGTTTGCTCTGCGTTTTAGACGTTCTGGTTTCAGGCTCTAAGCGCAGTGCTATATTTTCTCTTATTCCTAATTCCTTTAAGCAAAAAATTCACGTTACTACGCTTCGATACGATAACTTACTTTCCAGCGTACCGGCAAACGGCGGCAACTAGTTGACCTGTGGATGGTAGAAAACAACACGGTGTTCTCATGTTTGTGGCCGTTCTCGAGCGTGCAGAAGTTACAGTCATGCAGTTTTGTTCTTGCACCAGGCTCTGTTTCGGCGTACTCACGACTGGTCTGACAGTTGACTAAAAGTCAGCGTTTCCTTGCATCCATTTGTATTGAATTTACGTGTTGCATCTTATGCTGATTAAGTCAGCTATTAGATATCACACTGCTTGGTGCATTCTTCAGCAGTGGGCTTCAGACAAGCTGCTTCAACAAGGATCGCTGGCTTTCGCATGATTGCATCGGAACGCCATGTCATCACAACTGTTCCAGGTTATGGACAAGACTTTTTATCCATTTTTCAGTTATTTGCAATAAAGGATGAAGTGAATTTTTTGACCACAGGAATTAGCTATTAGCAAAAAAATTTACATCGCGCTTAGATTAAAATTGGCATCGTTACCTTACCGTCATTTTTCTCATTTTTTTAAAATTTATAAACTTATGCATGCAATGACAAATAGACGACTATAATATGATTTTGTAATCTTCATCTTCATCTTCCATCGCCGCTTCTCCTTTCGGGTCGCGGAGGCAGACGCGCCAGACAGTGCT